TTACAAAATACATTTTGGGGCATGTAATCTGTAATCTGTAGTGGAATACATTTTAAAAGTAATCTTCCCAACACTGGCTTTCCTTTCTTCTTCCTGCAGCTGGTGCATGAATATGTGCAGAGAGTCTTAGAGAGTCAGTGTCGCCCTGGCAACACCAGACAGAGCTTGTTAACTCATCTCCCTGCTTCCAGTCACAATGTCCAGCCCTTCCTGTGGAAAGATGAACCGCTGAACGATGACCTTTTCTTGTATCCTCCGCCGTTTGGGTTCAGAGGTCTTCAGAGCAAAGTAGCAGAACTGCAAAAACTGGTGAATGCAGGTTTTTTTGGTTTTTTTGTTTTTTGGGCGGGGGGGTTAAGATCCTTCAGTATCTGAGTGATTTCCACTGCTCAAAAAATAATAAACACTTCTCAGTAGGGTGGGGGATGAAAATGATCAACCTACAGAGGGCTGAATTCAAAGACACACCCAAAAATGAAAGTGGAAAAAAAAGATGCAGCAGCTAAGCAACTCAAAATGATCCTCAGTAGTTTGCATGGCCCCAACGTGCTTGCATGCAGTGAGACAATGGCTGGTGTCCTGAAACTGATCTTATCCAAATGCAAAACTAGCTAACTAGTGAGAAGAGATAAGGAGGGAAAACATGTGAGCGCCTCCACCTGTGGAACCACTCTTGCTCCTGCAGTTGTCTTTTTGTTCCCCTGGAGCACCTGTTGTTAATTTCATTAAGAGCAGCTGAAAGTAATTAACAACCCCCTCTGCTGCTTCACTGATCACATCAGTATCCCAAAAGTTTAAATGACGTCACTTGACTTGACGTACTCTCGCTAGAAAGTGTTCCTCTTATTTTTTTGTGTTCCGTTTACACCACAGGTGTCGAACTCCAGGCCTCGAGGGCCGGTGTCCTGCAGGTTTTAGATGTGTCCTTGATCCAACACAGCTGATTTAAATGGCTAAATTACTTCCTCAACATGTGTTGAAGTTCTCCAGAAGCCTGGTAATGAACTAATCAGGTGACTCAGGTGTGTTGACCCAGGGTGAGATCTAAAACCTGCAGGACACCGGCCCTCGAGGCCTGGAGTTCGACACCCCTGGTTTACACTATGCAGAACATATACCACTGCAGCTGAATGCACGTATATACCACAAGTCAGTGGTAAGCCACGGACTTGTGCGCCTGTGCATCAGTCTTTTTCAGAGCACAGATGTAATAGTGTGAATTTCTCTCTGCAGCTACCAGCCTCAGACTCACCACAGCCTGAGAAGGCTGCAGGGAAATGTCAGCGCTGTGTGGTCATGGGAAATGGAGGCATTCTCAAAGGCTTGGAGCTTGGCCCGGTGATTGACCGCTTTGACACCATTATCAGGTCAGAATTGTTGCTTGATGAGTAAACCTGAACAAAATAAACAGCCTACTTGATTAAACAGTGACCATATTGAATGCATGTTTGACCAGGTAAAAAAAAATCGATACAGCATAGTATTGCAATGTTTGAGGTGGCAGTGACACCAAATATCGATATTTAACTAAACAAATTATTGTTGTATTCGGGTAATATTCCTATAGAACAGGACGGTTACTGAGTGCAAATGTAATAGTTAGATGTGACTTTGTTTCCATGAAGACAGCAGCAGATATGTGATCTTTGACAGTTTATCAGTTAGTGGCTGCAGAGACGTATTGCATGTAATTACCAACAGATTCACAGGCTGATAGCAGCAGATTGTAAATTGTTAAAAAATGCAATAATATCGCAACGTGAGTGAAATATTGGATTAATATCATATCGTGGGGGGCAGCACGGTGGTTAGCACTGTTGCCGCACTAGATGCAAAAACCACAAGAGAACGAGCCTCTGTAACAGAAGACGTGGCATTTGAAGCCGCTTTGTTTTTTTATAAACCTGAGCCAGGTCATGAAATTAGATAAGCGCCCCGGATGTGAAGTGCTGCATTACACTTTTTACTTGGTGTGCAGACAGCTTGTTGTGTTGTATTCAGCTTTTTACATAATCCCATCTATCAGATCCATATGTCTTTCAATCAGTTAAACTTTCATTCCCTTTTTGACATTATTTTATTTTCTAAGATGAAAACGGTCTGCCGTTACGTATTTAAAATACGAAATATGACTAACTGTATTCTGTTACAGTTACCGTTTAAAAATGTGGTATTCAGAATACAGTTACTTTGTTGAAATAAATGGATTACACGGCGGTCTTTTCCTGTTTCATATGTT